CAGTGTAATGTATTTAGTTTACAAATTTTAAGTGATGCAATAATCAAGTGAATAATATTTTTCATTAAATTTAATTTGTGTTTTATTTTCTCTCTATAGTGATCACCAATTCGGAATGAAAATAGTTAAATTTGATGGCTTGCTGTGCGATTCTGTTATGTCTTAACCTATAACAATGACAATATTCTACATTAAATTTAAAATACCCATGAATTCCAAACATTCTTTTTATCCAGTTACTATTAACAAACAATAGTAAGTAAATTACCAATATTCTGTTCAGTTATAATAGTTCATCCTGTGAAATATATAAATTATATTATTATTTTAGTCATATCATGTGTGTGGGACTCAGCTTTGATTTTGAAATTTGTTAAATTACATATATAGACTTTTTGAATAGTTTTACATAAGCTCTACATTTTAAATTTCAACCCAAGACCATTACACACCAAAGAAGAAGTCACCATTACATATTTTTGAATAGTTTTACATAAGCTCTACATTTTAAATTTCAACCCAAGACCATTACACACCAAAGAAGAAGTCACCATTACACCATGAGACAAACGGATATATATATCATTTTTTTAAGGCTAACGCTATAAAAATTTGTGTCAACTAGTATCTCCTTCGTAAGGATTCCAAGTAAAATGTTGTGCAAATAAAGTGCAGATGCAATGACAAGATATCATCAAAACTAGAAACCGTTTAAAAGTAAAGACAACAATCTGATGTAAGTTAAAAACAAATATTATAATACTCTTATAAAAAATATTTATTCAAAGCATTCAGAAACTTATTTTTTTGGATAGATGTTCAATCAATTTACTGGAAAAGGGAGCACATTATTTTCAATAACGATAGGAAGAATTCGACAATACCATGCAGTAGTATTCTATTAAAAGAATTGAAAAAGGAATTAAAAAATACATTGTAATAAGAATACTTTTCTTGTACAAAATGTGTATTACAAAGCCTTGTACCAGGTAACGAAGACATCATTGTTAATTGACTTACTAGAAAATATCGAAGACTTGTATCAACTTCTTTCTTTTTCATAGAGATGCCATGTAAATCATTATGCAAAAAGAATGCAGCAGCAGTGAAAAGAATCTGTTAAAAGGCAAACATTATTATCTTGTAGTAGGAAGAAACCAATATTGTAATACAATGGTAAAAAATATTTACTCAAAGCATTAAAGAACTTATTCTTTTTGCATAGGTGTTCATTTAATTTAATTAAAGAGAGAGCGTATGATTATTTACTACGATATTCAGAATCCAACAACACTGTCATCATGAAAAATTTTGGAAGACGCTAAGGAAAGTTTCCCGTTCTCACCCTGGAAAGAWACCATGTTTTATAATATTCTATGAAAAGAATTGAAGAAGAAATGCATCCTAGTTATTACTAATTTAAAAGACATATAGGAAATATACATTATAATAAGAATACTTTTCTTGTAAAAAATGTATTGCCAAACGTTGTATCAGGTAATGAAAGACATTATTGTTAATCGACATACTAGAAAATATCAAAGACTTGTATTAAYTTCTTTCTTYTTCRTAGAGATGCCATGTGAATTATTATACAAATAGAATGCAGCAGCAGTGAAAAGGATCTGTTAAAAGKCAAACATTATTATCTTGTATTAGGAAGAAACCAAAATATTGTAATACAATGGTATAAAATATTTATTCAAAACTTTAAAGAACTTATTCTTTTTG